ATTTAGACTGCATACTCACTGACTAAATACACTGACTGCTTATTCACTGACTACATACACTGACTGACTCGCGGCTGTTTACTCCCTGACTACATACACTGACTGACTGCTTACTGCCTGACTCATCCGCGGCCGCATGCAGCGACGAATTAATACCTGGCCGGCGCACATCTCGATACATCCGGCACTTGCTCCACATTTCTACACGACTCGCGAATAGCCTGGAACCGTCCACTTCTCGGGGAGCCGGCAGATGACGCAATCCGCGTAAAGAATCCCGGCAATATTCGTTGCATTATCATGGTATATTTGGTTTGCTCACTGTTGAATTTGGTCAATTTATGCCATTTTCAAAATGTTTCCCCCTCTCGCTCTCCAAGCAACATGGCGGCGAGCGTCTGGTTTGGCTTTTCAAACGAAGTGCCCGTGCTGTGGTCACACAGTTCGTGGCGCAAACTGATGCTTCGCAGAACGAGCAAAAACCAGTGCGCCGGGCTAGCTCACCCATGTCTTTCCACCATGATGGTGAACGCTGGTCGAGAGCATCCTGTCTAGCCAGTGTGTTAGCTTCCTTAAACATATGGCGAGATGATGAAGGAGAGCTCATGATGGTCACCCGGAGGAAACTGTTAGTGCAAATAAAAGAAGACGGTAAGACTAAAAACGTAAAAAGCAATGCTCCGAGGTGGCAAACACAAAACAGGACAATTGTATCATTTAATTTCCTTTACTTTAGGTCAGAAGAAACCACACACATTACAGTACGTAAGATTCACAAAATCGTATTGACTAGTAAAATCACTTCATTGTAGCATCATGTACTATTACAAACTTTTTGTGATAATAACCTTTTCTCTTTTCAGGTCATAAAGAGAAGGAAAAGGCAACTTGATGAAGATCCCACACTACTGGAAGAAAATGTAGATGAACTTGGTAAAGTATGAAAGGGTCAGATTTATGAAATTAAGTAATGTAGTTGACATCCACATATTCATTTACAGAACAAAATATATAAAAAATTGACATTTTTAGGAAGGAAAAGAAAATTAGCTTTCTTGGATCTTCTTCTGCGTGCTTCCCGCAATGGTATTGAGCTCTCTGATGAAGATATTAGAGAAGAAGTCGATACTTTTATGTTTGAAGTAAGTTCAAGATAAAACGATAATACCCGTAAGGTATTTGAGTGTGAATATATCACAAGAATTTGATTACTTCTATTCCATTTTTCACTAAAGTACACTTTTCTCTCATTCCAATGCAGGGACATGACACAACTGCTTCTGCGATTTCCTTCGCTCTCTTTGAACTTTCTCAGCGGCCTGACATCCAGGTTGGACGTACTTTTTTTAATACAGATATTTTTTAGCATTTTCTTAAGTCATGCTTATGATTTTTAAGACTTAACATATTTCGGGAATGTTTCGTGTCTTTTGCTTCTTCAAAATCCATAACAGGAACGTTGCACCAGATCTATGAAATTTGCAATCGAAGATATTTTAAGCGAATCCAAACTCATGAAGCATTTCTCACTTTTTAGGAAAAGGTTTTTAATGAATTGAAGGAAGTCGCATCTGATAACGACTCACAGTATTTGTCTCTTGATTTTGAGCATTTAAACAAGCTGAAGTATCTAGAACAAGTGATAAAAGAAACACTAAGATTGTACCCTAGTGTCCCGATGTTTGCGAGAGAGATTACGGAAGAAGTACGACTGGCTTCCCGTAAGTAATTTTTTTAAGTGTTTGGATTTGAGAATTTTCTGCGGCCTGCATCATTTTTTTGGAATTTCATGTTGGGATTTCGTTTCAGTGTTGGTTAGTAATGTGTCGATGTTATTTTCTGTATTGTTTGTACAACCATGCGAGCATGGAAATACTTTGTACAGTCCAGATCATTTTACCGGAAGTGCCTCTCACAGAAACATACGATCAAACCTTCAGTTATTGTTTTCCAAATGTTTACAGCATTCATAGAAAACCGAAAATCTTAGATGGTCTGGTACCACAAAAACCATGATTAGAGTCAAAGTGTCGGCCAGCATTTGAAATAATGAACTGAAAAAAAGTTCATGTTTTAAACAGAAACAATATGTTGAATTTTTATATGTATGAATCAGTGAGCAATTTAATGCAAACAATTTAAACATCGTGCTTTGTTACTTTCAAAGTTATTTTTCCAGTACCAGTCGACATTCCGCCTGGAGTGACCGTCACTGTTGTACCTGCTCTTCTGCATCGAAACTCTGAATTTTATCCGGATCCAAATGTTTTTAATCCAGACAACTTCTCCCAGGAAGCTGCATCCAAGAGGCATCCTTTCGCCTATGTGCCATTCAGCGCAGGATCCAGAAATTGCATTGGTAAAGAATTTTTTTGGTGATGCTAGTGCTGACTCGTGCATGTTTCTTGACGTGTGGAACGAATTTAGTTGAATGAACTTTAAATGAAACGAATTAGATTATGTATCAACATCGGATAGGATGAGAGAGAGAAGGAGAAAGAAAGAGCGAGAGAATGAGCGATATAGAACGAGAGAGATGGGTTCGGAATATCCGCAGTTTGAGGTTACAAATAGAACGTTGAATTTTCGAAGAACGGAAAATCTTCAGTGTGTAATGTGCTGCGCTTGTAATATGTTAAAAAACTATTATAAATATCGGGTAAAATTAAGTCTCTAAAACATGTCCCTTCGTAATAAGATTCCTTAACCTTATAATCAATGAATAGCGCAAGTAGCGTATGGATATGATTGATATCGTTGATTTCCGGTCCCTGGAAGAGAATGGTTGTGGAAACCATTTGATAATAGCAATTCCTACAAATTGATTTGCTGTACCGTATTCTAAGACTATGCGGTGTCAATCGTCAAAATATCTGACAAATCAACACATGTGAAGAAGTTTTCAGAGCACGCAACTTTACAATTTCAAAATTATTTTTTGAATGAATCATTTTACTTGTTTCTAAAAACTCAGATTCAAAATAAATGTTCGAACTGATAGTTTTCGTGTTTAAATACATGCAAATGTTACGTTAAATGTTTCATGTAACTTTGTTTTTAGGTCAGAAGTTTGCAATGCTGGAAATGAAGTCAATCCTGGCGAAGATAATTTGGAACTACTCCCTTCAAGTAGATCCTACATTTGAAATGGAATTGATTCCTGAAATAACTCTCAAATCTAATGATGGAGTGAGACTATCTGTTATTCGAAGAATATAAGGACAATGTTTCCTAAAATAGTTGTATTTCTGTCTCGTCAATTTGAAAAACATGTCATTTCTGTTCATTTAATGTTATATAATGTTATGTAATTATAATCCTTAAAACTCTTTTACTTATTTCCACTGGTGGTAGGAGGGTTAAATTTAAGGGTGTTACAAAACCTACAGTCGTAAAGGGGTAGTGAGTCTCCCTCACCAATATTTCCCAAATGATTAATGGGCACAATTATTAAAATTGTAAGAACATTTCACCTTAAATTCGAGTATATTTTAAAATATTTGGATTTCTATCGAATAATTATAAACAAGTTGGAAACGTAGAACCACTAATGAAGAAAGAAGGATACGAAAAATTCTCGATTCCAAGAAACTGGTTATAAATATTTCTCTAATGATGCACCCACGTATGACAAGGTGCCATGGGCGCAGGGCGTGATACCTTTCCGGAATCGGGCTGGGGTCAGCCTAACAATCGTTGCGAGCGACAGGGCCCACGCGGACATCCACCTAACCATATTCCTTTCCTTTCAATACACGCAACGATTGATAAGTGGATGAGGGCAACTGCATTTGCGCGGTGAAGGGGCACGATGTTTACAATGCTACTGATTGCTGCGAAATGAGCAGAGATTTTGTGAAGAAAATTAATATTTGTAATATTAATAACCAATTTTGAAAATAATTATTAAATTTCTCATTTATTGCTTTATATTACTTTTGAACTTGTCCCTTCTGAACGTAGTCTCTGTGTTCCAATAGTTTAATGAGGCAACATTCTACGCGAGGCATTTCTTTTCAATTTTATCAATCTATCCAGAAATGAGGGAATTGTAATCTTACCTCCTTTACTTGAATTGAAAATCCAATCGCCGATTTTTCATATGAACACATTCTCCTTCACTTATTCATTAAAGTTACTGGTTTCACGGATAAGTAGCTTTTCTACTAGTATTTGACAGGAATGCGGGGGCGCACGATCGCTCGGTTCTCATTATATTTCTTTGGAATGTTTTTATCAGCTTCGCTATTGAAAAATGATCGTTCAGCTTCTGAAGAAGTCGTTGGAGTAGTAAGAAAAATTCGAATACGTTTGGAAACTACTAGAAAAAGTTCTTCCGGCATTTCATTTTGCAACATTAAGTACTTGAAATAATGCTACCGCTCATGTTGGATTTCTAAATTCGCTTTTATTGTACATTCCTTGCAACTGTGTTATGTACTGAATTTGACGTTCATTTTTAAAGCATCGTCAGTGGTACTAACAAAATCCACTAGCACTCGAAATATCCCAGTGTTTTCCAATTGATCACTTTCGTCGCATCTTCACAACGCAAACTGAGCTTGCGCAAAACAAAATTGGACACAGTTTATAAGTGTCCAGAATTTGTCTGTTCTTGCGCACTCCATCGTCGTTTTACAGTGAAACGATAACTCTCGCTATGTCAAATCTCAATATTTAAGTAAAGCGAGTTCAACATTACTGTTTTTAGGAGATGTTGTCTCTTGATGATCTGGGCTGACCGGGTGACGCCGCGTTGAAGGCGGAGGTATTTCGTCGTTTCGACCAACATAACCCGGACAGCCCAGATCATGACTGGTCGCGAAAGCCTACGATATCGTTGCCTCTTAATGTTTGTAAATTTCTTAATCAAATGGTTAAAAATGATTATAACCTGTCTTCGTCTACACATTTCCCTCCTTGCTAAATAACATGCAAGGAAAACAAAATTGTACGTTTTCCCCCTCACACTCACGTAGTCACTTGTATGTCGAATAAATATTAACATTGAATCGTCGACGAAACTTGTTTTGCTGATTTTACAACAGGCTAATCCACACCAAGCTTCTTGATTGATAATTGAACACCAGGATGCAGGGACAGTAAAAATAAAACATTATTCCAACCCGAGATGTAAATCATATTTATACACTGATTTTAAGCCGACTCTCACCATCCACATCAGATGCAAAACTCCGGAGTATCGTATCTCGCCCACCCGTCCACCCGCCCGCACCGCGACCAGCTCTTCTTACATGCCAAGTCCAATTCATAATGGTGAACAAGATTACCAAGAAAGTCCGGATTCAACTCTCGGTAGGTTCATTTTCCTCTTTATCCGAACGAGACACTGTTTTACTGATGGCGCGACGGAGACTCCGTCTCAGAGTTGGGTGACACGATAGTCCGGTAAGGGCTGCGCCAAGCGGAGTACATGGTATCAGCGTGAACATAATCTGATGGAAGCGTCCTATGAAACCTCAGAAGCCACATCACGTGGTACCCAATGGTCCTTATGGAACGAGGTCTGAGTGAGGTGTTGTTTCGAAAATGTGAACAGCAACGTAGCCACATCGGTTCGTCCATGAAATACTGGTATGGAAATTAAAAAGGAGTAGAAAAAAGTCATACTGTTAATGTGATTGCAATAATGAAATGTATATTATATTTTGTTCACATTTTTTACGCTTTCCCTTCTCACGGTGCCACTCAGCAGCTCTTCCGAGTAGTGCGTCTCCTAGCAGAGCATTGGTTTAAATAAGGTTTTCACACGAAGGGCGTAGTCGCACAGCTGTGGAATTTGGTGGCGAACTCTCGCCACCACCAGCGCAGAAGCGTGATCGCGTCACTGCTAGCAGACAGCTAAATGGCGGTATTCGCACGAGACGCACCGCTGAACCGGACAGCCCGCTGACTGCCTTCGTTGGCCGCCTAAGCTCTCAGCAGTGAGAGGTCCTTCCTCTCTCGTGGACGGGGCGGGTGGAAGTGGCTGTGTGGGATGGGCTCTGCTACTTCCCTGTGGCACCATCTAGTAGCTCCAAGTGAAGGCACTCTTACGTTTTGTGGAGGACTTCAACACAGTTTTTGTTTATTTACACGGACCTCCACCGCTTGAGAGTGGAACCTGACTTGGCAATGGCCACCGCTGAACCCCATATTTTAGGACTCATTATTTATATATGCGCGAACCCATCGCGTACACTTCAGACGAGCCCATCTTGCAAATCAATTTTTTTAAATGCATATATGCCGCGTGGAAACACTCCAATGTGGTGAAAACAATTTGTTTATGATAACTGCTAGAATATACGATGCGGAGCTGAGAATTTGAACCCAGGGTATTATACCACTGCTTTTCCCGCCAATCGAAGTTAATTCAGAAAGTAGTGCAAGGGGACACATGGTTAGCTGCGTAGGAGCATGAGACCCACTCACGCGAGGATATAAATCGACAATACTCGTATTTGGGACGGACGCGTGAGAAGATCGAAAAACGACATGAGAGAACAGTAGCGAGGGAGAAGGCGCGAAAGAATTGGAACGGACGTGAGGACTGAAGTTCAACTCGAGAGTGACGGACAGAAAAAGTAAGACTTTGGGTGATACAAAAATATTTGGGTGAAAGTCTTGTTTTTGTTATTTTTTAAATTTGCAAATACTTCAGGCAATATTGTGAGAAAAGTACTAAAATTTTTAAAATATGTGCATGATCTTATTGAAAGAACTGATTATGGACAACAAATATATTTTCAACGAAAATATCTTTAATTTTGTAGTTGTACAAAGACGCCGGAAATAATTCAAACTTTTGAAATTTTCAAAAATGTAGTTAACCCTGAAAATCGGACCTATGCCACCTTTATAAGTGTATTTTACTTTATTCTTACAAGAAATTTAAAGAAAAAATTGGAGTTGTTTTCGAGAAAAATTTGAAAATGCCCGGGGGGCTTCATGTAAAGTACCCCAAATTTTAAAGTATGATTTTCAAAATCTTAAAGTTTTGACTCTAGCCAGATCGACAGGGGTTTCTTTAATTTGGAAAAAATCCTACGTATTAGACGCTAGAGGTGTTCACAGATGGATGGACGGGCGTTTTGAAAAAATCTCTTTTTCAGCATCAGTTCAATAGCAAAACGTGTATTTCAGTTGAAATATCGAAAATGATTTTCTGCAGCATTCCATAACTTCCCTATACTACGTACATTACTCCGTATATATGTATGTATACGGAAAAGTGAAAATTAAATAAACATTACACCAAGTATATATGCTACAACATTTCTTTCTTTTCTACGTCCTTTCTACAATATAAATATAATCCCAGTTATATTTTTTCCTACATTGCCTAATAATTACCCCTATTATTTAATATTCAATTTAATGGAATGTCTAGCTTTAATTTTTATCAAGGTTTTGGGCGTTGACATACTTACATTATCTTCGGGTGTTTTCGTCTTTCTTTTCGCGGGCTAGAAAACACCGCTCATACTAGTATCAAATGGTGATAAGTTAACTTCATTAGGAAATATTATGTTATTTATTCCGTTAACTAATTCAAAACGGAATCAAACACCTTGTGATTTGTAATGAAATTATCAGCGACCAGAAGTGACGGCTGCAGAGTCGTCTCCTATATTTCAGTAGTATACATACCTTTTGCGGCTCTCACACGCAACCGATCTTTATAAATGAGGACTATAAAGAAAGAGGATTTCACGGAGATTTGACGAATTTCGCTTTGACTTTGAAAGTGGATAGTGGATTTGTTTAAAACAAAGCGCATATAAATATTCATGCTAAATGCAACCCGCATCACTCATTCAGCTATATCGATCCATAACTTCTAAACGAAGCTTTCTAGGGCCTTTAAAAAATATTTTGAAGAAAAAGCTTCAAAGAAACGCTTATTTCACCGAAATCTTCAGGATAAGATTTCCTTTGGTATTCTATTTCATTTTTGCTGGTACGGCATTTATCGACACTATCGAAACCACCTATATTTAACCCCTAGGAGATGGTGGCCATTTTATATAACGTCACACTTAGAAGGCGTAGATTCCTCTATCTTATACTATTTACGCCTTCCGTGTACATCGTGGTTTCCGCACACTGACGAGGTTTATTTGCATTTCGGGTTTATTGAGTCAAAACAAGTGAAAACTGTAAGTGACTTGTTGTGGAGAAGATCATTATTATTAATTCAAGATGCATAATTATTAATTCAAGATTCCCTCTCGCAGCAACTACTAGAAGTAATATTAATAGTTACTCGATACCGATGAAGATTGTTTCTTATGCGTGTAGTGAAAACATTCATTTAATGTTCTGCAGAGGTCTACAATTGCTGTGTACCTAATTGTGAAGGGCTGTGGGAGTACAGTGAAGAATGAACACGTGTCTTGTTAGGTTTTGTTTGTGTTTTACCTGTACCAGAATTTTGGTTATCAGTAGTGATTAGGTGAAATTTTCAAGTCACCGTGTTCAGTCGCGTAGCTTTCTCAAGGGGGAAAAATATTTTTTAAATATTTTCGTGACTATCACGAAAAGATAACTGTCAAAGAACATTGAATAATTACTTCAAATATTTTAAGGGAGTGTTGGAAAAATTGTTCCAAGAAATCTCCCGATAATATTGAATAAATCTTTAGTAAACATTTCTTTTCCACGTCGATTGCATTGTTTTTTCATTTTTATTTGATATTGTGTTAGTACAATGGAAGTTACATATACACCATTTTAAACAATAAATATGTTTTGTTTACAACTTTCCCTCTTAGAATGGAAATAGAAGGATAGGGAAGAGAGAGGGGTTTAACCTGCGAGAGTTCTCCCACGGGCACGCGGAGGTAGTAGGGAAAAACTTGTGCTATGGCAGAACACAAAGCAATAACTTTTTAAATTAAAGTATAATAGCTTGAAATAAATGAACAACAAAAATAAAAGCACGTTAGCAAACACTACTAATAATACTGAATTAATTTAAAAAAAGCAACCACATTAAAAATTATAGAAAGTATAGTGCAAGTCATTCGACAACTACCAACGATCACAATCCAGAAGCACGATTTAAATGTTGGCAGTATCAGGAAGTCTATACTTCGATGCCCAACTGCAATCTCGTTTTGTACATAATTCACCGTTTGATATTAAACTAAAGGTGTCAGTTCGCTTACATGTTCAATAAGTAAACAACGTTTGAATGTATAACTCGACCAAGTTGAGAATGATGTTCACAGGACCACTGTCTTTGTTTTACAGCTGAAACGATAGAGACGGAGATATTGGAACACGACTCAAATTAAAAATGGGACCGAGCCAAACAGTTGCGGGAAAAATGAACGATTTATTTCATCGCAAATCTACTGTCTACCCAATGTGTATTTTAACAGTATTTGGACATGTCTGCACATCATATTGGGATAAATAAAAGTTTAGTTTTCTCCGCAGAATGAATAAAAAATTTTATTGACTTCCACGAGCAGGTCTTTCCTTTGCGAAGGTATTTAAGCAACCTTGGCGTTGTGATGAGATCAGCGACTATGTCCATACTGGGGCTCTTCATATTACCACACTGAATTTACTTTATACGTTTTACTACAACTCGTGATCTAAATTTTTCACGAATATTATTATTTTCTCGCAAATCAGTTTTAGCTTTATTTCCCTATTATTTGTTAATCGTGGACCACATGTCCATTTTCTCCTACAAAATAAAAACATGTTTTTACATAACGCCCTGACGGCCATAAATCCTCCAGCTCAAATCCAATATCGTTCTTCCACAAGTGTTCGTTTTCACCTATTTGTGTTAAAAAGTTCACTTGTATGGTTGTTATTCTTCGAATCGATGCGCTCTTGTCCACCCCCAACCATGGATCTAGGCCCCTCTTATCTTATATCCACTATGTTACATGTTTTTAATATTTTTTCGATGTTTTTTAATTGTCCAAAATTTATTTTATCAATATAATATTTTCATTTTTTGATGCCTTGCATACCCGATGACTCATTTTAATTTGTATTTTTACGTAATTCCTCACATTTCACCTGTTACATGGCATTGATGTTTTTGCTTTTCCAATACAAAAATCCCGTAAGGTATTTTATATTCCCTCAGTATATGCAGAGGAAAACCTCTAACGAAGATAGACATCACACTAAATGAAAATTGACGCATATAGTATCGTATTTTATAAGTTGTATTTAATGGTTAATTTTATATTCATTACCTCGCGGCTTCAAACATCTATCACTTGCCACACGGGGATGATAGTGCATGGATGGATAGATGTCGTTAATCTATGGTTCTGCCCATGGTGGAAATAATACATAAATATTTCCACGACCGTGCTGCCCTCACAGTCTCCAATGTTGTCACTAGTTGGGGGGGGATCTCTATTGCTTGGCATTCTGGGAAGCTCCTGGGCAGGAAAAGGCGCGAAAGTAAGCGCGTGTCACGGAATGTCACAAGCTGAGTGTAGTGGGAAGTGGCAATTTGTCTTTGTTTATTATTTTAACTGTCATGTCTGTAAGTCGCGATAAGAGGAAAGGTTTGCCGAAAATTTCAATTGTAAATGACAGATGCAGAGCCACTGCAGAACTTTCTCGAGATTTGCAATTGTATACTATTCCTCCTTCGTTCATTGTACCACTCGCGGAAGTGTATCGTTCAGTGACTGAACGATTAGAAGGTATCCTATTTGGAGGGTTTCCTTGTCATACAGTACATTTTGTACCACAGATTTATTATGATATGCTTTCATCGTAGTGTTAAGAATTCTTCAACACACCCTTCCAAAAGTTCTCGCCAAAAATGTGGAAGATCAGAAGTCTGCTGTGTTACAACAATTGCAAAAGCAGGGACTCATAACATATGCCAAATTAGTAAGTGTGAATTAATTTTACTGGATCTAAGTATAAATATAATAGTTATTGATTCTTGAATTATAGTATATATTACATTGTAATTTAACTTGTATTCATTTCTTTGCCTTGACTTGTCTGGAAAATAATTATGTACGTAAAGAAGTGTATAAGTTGATGTAGTATCTTCATGTGGTTGTACCAAGAACCAATTGTCTATAATATATTAAAGAGAGCCATGTGCACAGTCATTGTGATTGTTAAAAAATGAAAATTAAAACTTGTTCCCCACCCTTAGATAACTCAGAACAAAATTAGTAGTCCAAAGTTTCAGCCAAGTAAAAAACCTGCACCATTCAAAGGTTGAATTTTAAAAAGGATTTAACATAGGAACTTGTGTTTTTTGTTTTGTTTTTTTCATTCCTTTAAATGCATCATTCTTTCAGAAATCTATCTTTTGTTTTATTTTTGAGAAGTGATCATATTACAAGCACTGCCTGAGCTAGATAATAGACCCTTCCCCCCTGAAAAACTGTGAATGTTGTATCTAGAAACTTGAGTTATTTTATTTCAACAAATAATAAAAATTACAATTTTTAACCTATAAAAAGGTTTTGAGAAATATATTTTAAATACTAGTTGTAATAAAAGTATTTAGTGATCAAATAATTGCTTTAAATTTTAAGGTAAAAATTTAATTGAAATTTTATGAAATTTCAAACTACAGTATCACATCTTATAAAATTATGATAACAATTTTCATGAGTTATAATTTATTTATATATTTTTTAATCAGGCCTCGCCACGATCACCAGGTCTGCCCATGCCTATCTTTGATACTGATTATAAGTAGTTCCTTTCCTTTTGCCGATTCCTTTAATTCTGATAATTGTTACTAAATTCAAGGTGTATTAAAAATGTTTAATTTATAAACCTATAGGATCATGCCATTTATTATTATTAAGAAGTTGTGTCAATGCTTGTCAATGAGGTTATTAAATATCATTTGAATGATAGTTTAGAATTTAGGTTTCGAAAACTAGGACTAAGACTTTCTGGGTCAGGTCAGTTACGAGCTGGACTTTTTAATAAATAGATTTTAAAAAATGTGTGAAATTAAAATATGTTATTTATTGTGCTATTGCTAAATTTCAAGGTCCTTTTGTGTTATCAGAGTCAAACTTTTTTTTCATTTCAGCTGGTTTCTTGTGGCCATGGAGAGACTGGTGTTGTAATTAAGGAACGCACAGCTGATTATGTTTCTCACTTCTTTCTGCGTCTTATTTATTCACAATCAGAGAATTGGAGACATTGGTTTCTAAATAGAGAATTAGAACTTTTTCGTTTACGCTTTCATTCTTTGAATGCAGAAGGAGTCACAAACTTCTTGGAGGAATATGGACTTTGGTTTACACCAGTAGGTGAAACACTATTTCAATATTTTATTACTTTAATTCACATGTATTGTATGTTGTGTACTTTTATTGTTGAACCCTCTTACAACTAACTTATTTTTCTTACACACTTACTAATAGTGGTGAATTCACACCCCAAGTTTAAAATCGAAGAGAAACTTGATATCTGTTACTGTTAATATGAAGATAATAGCATTGCAGAGAGAATTGAAATAGCTACATTCATAACAAAAAGGGGTGTAGACAAGTCCCATGCCAATCATTTATGCTATATGTTCATATAGGAAGAATGAAAAACATTTACAAAGTATGAGCAATTTCAATACAAGATAAGAGAGGATTTTTTAACAACAGATATTTGGTGGGTAGGTAGGAGGTGCACCCTGCATGTTAATCATAGGGTTAATACTGGAAGGATGGCATTTGTCATAATGAAAGTTTTTGTTTGTTGTTAAATTAGAGTTTTAAAATGCTCATTAAAGGGTAAAATTTCTTAACTTTATAATAAATTAAGCAAGTTATTTATTCAAACGTGAATTAGTTTTGTTTCATATTCCTATTAATTAACTGCTTTTAATGTACAATGAAATTCAATTAATATCTGTTATATGTAGGTTGTGTTTGAGACCATGTTTACAAGACAAAAATGTGTAAAATTGATTGTAGTTAACATGGCATTACTACATATTCACTCTACAAGTTGCAGTCGTATGATTTTGGGTCTTTATTAAGTGATGCACAAATTTAAGTTTCTTAGTTTCAGTGAGGACCTCATTGAATAGTGGTATGCAAGTGGTATTTCATGTACTATATCACTCATAAAGTGGGTGGAGACAGTGTGAAAAACAATCGTTAAAGAATTGATATCAAAACTTTAAAAAACCTTTTTTTTTGTGCTGCATTTCAATACGTTCTAGTACATAAGTTGTACGTGAAAAAGTAAAATTTACCCATAAGTAAGCAAAGATGGAAACCTACCCTTGTAGAAATAACATAAAAAATCTATTACATGTGACATCAACAACACAATCACGATGGATGACACTCACCCAACAAACGAGAATATATGCAAAGAGCAAGATACTCTCCATACTATGAGATTATCATTCTCTAGAACAAAACGAAACAGTCGTGCACCTCATCCAAGAGACTCTCCAAAAAAGAGCCAATGTAGTAAAAATATGTTATTTTATATTTCTTATAGAGGTATGATTTTAGTTTTGTCCAATTTTACTATGTATTTTATTTACATTATTTTTATCTTATTAGTACTGTAGTTCTTTTCATACAGTTTGTCATAGATCAGATGTACAGTTTCATTCTGGAAGCATTCTGTTCTACACACACTCATTTTTGAAGAGTTAATTCGTTGTTCGTCGTTATGAGGTGCGGGTTGTTCACCCTCTTTATTGATATTTAATGGAATAGTTTTTTATATTCTACATCACAGTTAAGTTTCCATTTTTGCTTGCATTTGGTTTAATTGTAACTTTCTTGTATGCATACATGTATTTGAAGGAATCTTATGTAGTATAGAGAATGTCATGTAATGCTGTGAAACATCAGTTTTGATATTTCAACAGAAATACAGGTTTTGAAGTCCCCTGAAATTAAAAATCAGCTTCCCCCCTCCCCACCTCTTCTTTTCCTTTTCTTCTCCTCAAAATGTTTGCCTGTGGTTCAAAGACACTAACACCTGATCTATTTGTAGAATTTTTGACAAAATGGTTATTCCCTGATCGTGCAGACCCAAGTCTTAAGTCTTGGGATTTTGAAAAGATTTCTTCAAATTTGGGAGCAAACATGAAGCCCTTTGGAAATTTTCAAAATTTTCTCAAAAATTGCTCCAAATTTCTTTCTTTCAACTCTTCATAGGATAGTGTGAAAATAGTGTGTAGTATAAAGATGCCATAATTTCAGATAATCCAAAAAAAACTGAGATGGAGGAAACATAAACAATATAAAATGCTTATTTGTAGTGTAAAGAAAGCACTTCATAATTATTGTAGAACAAGTAATTGAACAAGTAATTATTGAAACACAAGTTGAAAATGAAATGTTTAGTGCATTGGTAACTACAGTGTATACGACATGTTTATGTTGCAGTAATTTTCACTTAGATGAACTTGCAAAATTGGTAATCTTGTTTTGCCGTAAGGAACTGAATCTGTTTGATGATTCAATCACTCCTTTACGTTGCCATTTTGTCACATCGCACACTACATTGCATTGTCTAGTATTCCTATAGAAGTATTTATATGTGTACAGTACATTTTTTTTAGATAATCTGAACATTTCTGAATTCGAACAGACCACACCCCCCATTTAGTTTGGATTTCTGGGGTTCTACTGCATGTTGTTTACAAAAATATTATTAGTTTTCACTGAATTTTGAGTAAATACAGATAATATTAAAAGCAAAATTTTCTCAAAAACATCTCAAAATTTTTTCTACGAAGTTTTTGAACAGATAGTGCTGAATGCAATGAATTAAAATGATGTAATCTTCACTTAATTTTTTTTTCTTATTATCTTTCCAAAATTATACAAACTTTTTTTAAATATACCTTATGTCATTCTTTACATCACAGGCATTATTTATTGAATCCTACTTTTTTTTAATACAAGGGCTTCAAATCATTTCTTATAAAGTTTCTCAAAAACTCGAAACGCTTATAAGAAAAGAGTTCAAAATTTGGCATTTTTAGAAATGCAAAAACGAAATTTTCCCAAAACTTGACAGGATTCAAATTTTTTAAAGAAAATTTGCATATAAGAACACGTTGCACACCTTACAATATTCTTAAAACCATGTTTCCATTCAACTTTTAGGGGACGGAAAAATTGAGAAAATGTTTAAAAAATTTCATTTTGGTACTGATACGGAAGGAAGAAGTGGAGGAAAACCAGAAAGCTAGCTTAGACTAAAGAGATAAGGACATTGTTATGAGAAAATGTGTGCCACTCTGTAGTGCCATAGTTACGTTTTTAATACTTAAATAATAGTAACTATAGTTTATACTGAGTTAATAGTATTTAGTTTTACTATCAGTTTTCAGAGCATTCTAGTAGCTGACTCGACACACTCTACGAGTGTTGTATTACATGGATAGTCATATGCGTGCTCAGCACTCATTGATGTTCTATCATAAGCATGTTTTTTAAGAATTTTCAACCTGATGAGGCCTTAAATTATAGGATCAGGACATTGAAGAGTGAATATGTTATGATGTGATTTAAACCATATTAAATTTTATACAATTGTCTATAAACAGTTTTATCATTTCCTATTTTCCCTGGAATGAATGAAGTACTGCAATAGATTTCAGATGAAGAGAAGAAGTCGATGATGCACAATCTTCTTACTTCAACTGCAAATATGTCACAAGCTGATGTTGCAACCACCACTTTCTTCAAAGTTCCATACATTGACGTGCTGGACTTGATTTCAGATCGCAAGGTTTATATGAGTGGAGGATATGCCTTTATTCCATTCAAAGATATTACTTCAGTTTTCTGCACTCTATTCAAAAACCACTTGTGTCGGGCCCTGGAGGAGGTAATGTATTTATTACAGTTATTAAACTCATATTATTGACATTTTGTCTAAACGTTTCCAGTTCCTTTTGTTGAATTCTTGATGAGAATGGGAATATAACCAGCTTGAAACGTTTTATGTTAGTACACAAAGTCGAACCTACATTTCTGGAAATAAGTTTCTTGAAATTGAGAATCATATATTTATTTGTATCTATATTTAACAACAAGGCATCTACTATATTCATGTGACAAATAAATAAACAAATATAAATAAATATTTTGGAATTGATATATTCACTTATTTTGACACAGGTTACATAATTTTTTCAACTTTTCAGTCAACTTGACATGAAGTCATAATGAGATTATATATACCATTGTTGCCGTTCTGCGACCTCCCTCAGTGCGAAATGACCCTTGGTCTCATCTGTCAACAGCACCGTGCAATGCTTAAAAGGCTATATTGGCATGCGGTATTTTACTCTTCATTCGTTCTTCCAATCCTCTCTGAAAGTGAACTTCGCGCTGTTAACTGAGAGATTATTATCGCGTTTGCAGCATATTGTTTTGCCAGCCTACAAGATCTGCAGCAGGGAAAGAGCGTTTCTCACCGATTAAGCAAAATGTGTGTGTAATCTTATATTCATGTTTACCACAATTGCAGAGAGACAATTAAAACAGGGCCAATCAGAAATAATATTTATCAGGTGAATACATTTATAATTAGATGATTTGGGAAAACTCCCAATATTCCTGTTATAAGTGACAGCATCTCATTGCTCATTGGCTTGCTATTATTGCAGCAACTCTGATCTACATTTCTGTTTCATTTTCAATTTTGGTGTGTATGAGTGTCTGATGACTCCCTGCCAATTAGGATTGGGATAATTGCAATGTCTTGTATTAAAACGACTTGTTCACTTTGTTTACAATTTGTAATGAATCACAGCTGTCTGTTAGTGATGTAGAAGAAGTGAAATCAGATGAACGGTTTCAACCCTTAATTGGCCATGCTGAATGGTTTTTGCATAAAACCAATAATTCAGGGGAAACTGTTGTTGCAGAGGAAGATTTGGATGCAGTAAGTATTGCATTGTTAATTTAGGTTCTTAACTTAATCATACATTATTATTATTGTAACATTTCTCGGTGGTGAATTAAACACACAGGTACACACACACAGGTAATATTTAATTAAAAACGTTAATTTTGCTTCTTAATGCTACACTAAAATACTTTATTTATTTACAGATAGGTTACACAGGCCTTGTATTCTTCACTTGATTATTTATTTACACTGTTCACTTCTTCTACACTATCACACAGACCGATGCACTGTCCACGGTCCACTGTGGTGCTGACCGCAATTCACTGCGCAGACCAGGATCGCCTGCACTGCTGTTCGCCGCGATGCACACTTAACGGCTCAGCTTCCACTTCAGACAGACTACTGCTTACTCACTGACTACATACACTGACTGACTCGCGGCTGCTTACTGCCTGATTGAATCGCGGCCACCGGCGAATTTATACCTGGCTGGCGGCCGTCTCGACACATCCTGCACTTGCTCCACATTTCTACGCAACTCGCGAATAACCTGAAGTAGATATTAAAATTGAATGGCTGGCTTGTAGTGTTCACAAAGATTCATTTTCATTAAACAAATCATTGTATTGCCCTCACAGGAAGAGTATGGACTTCTCTCAGTAAGTCTCAAAATACATTAAGTATCAGTATGCCAAAATGTAATACCATTTGATACAAAAATTATTTTTCCTTCAAAAACATTGGGCAGGAGATGGTCCATTTGTGCATAGCATTTTATTTTGAAACGAAAATACAATAAACACGATTTTATATTGACATTCACAATACACTTCATGGTTTCAACACTTTCTGTTAAGTTTTCAGTTGCGGATTAATACTGTGACGTAGTGAAATAAGAAATAAATTTCAATAACAAAAGAAAAATAATATATTAAAGCTTATGCACAAGTTACAATGAATTGCTAATTTTAAAACACTCCGGCAACCTTTTCCTTTCAGAACACTGCTTTACCGCAGAAAATACAAAAGCCACGCGTGATGCGCGCTGTCGACCTCCGTCCGTGACCAATTACCGTCACATGCCTGACGCCAAAATTTAACCCGTTCTGTGGACCGTGTGCCTACAGCACGCGAGATCGTCTGGCCCTACTCTCGCGACATCTCGCCCCTCACTCCTACACACCTCGTACATACACGTACCAAGCTTCCCCAGTGCAAACTGAATGAGAACGGCGGCGCAGAGCGCCCGCGTTAAATAGTTGAGTGCGGACACCCCACCACTGTTCCATAGATAGGCTCCCGGCTGGCGCTTGGTTTACGCCAACACACAGGATTCTCAGGTTGGCTGCCTGCTTCCGTAAACGAGCTCGCAGGCTTAGGCATCCTCGGAGTTTACAGCCCTACGGGTATTTTGCCCTCTGCGGTTCTACCTGAGGTCACCGCCAGAGCGCAAAGCTCCGGAATTCAGGCTCTCAACCCCTTCCTTCCCCCGCAGCGTACTTTCAACCGACTAACGGTTCTGGCCCTCGTGTTACGACGGCCACAATGACAGTTAAACTTGCTCAAAAGCAGGACACGTCTAACATGGAAATCTGTGCACTGTAAATATAAACCATGGGCCTGACAAATTTAAATTCTTCAAAATTGCATTGTATAATGCAGAATTTTGTCTAATATGAGAATAAATGCAGGTCCCTTGATATTACACATTGAGTAAATTTTACTGTAATAAATATTTTGCAAATTAACCTTTTCATTTTAGACTTTCTGGGTTTACTGTTGACATTAATTGAACCATTGGATAATTATGGGCTTCCGGAAAATGTGTGTGTCTCTCATATTAAACTGGGGGTTCTAGAGGAACATTTTCTCAAGCACTATTGAAGCTATCTCCTTCATTTTCCCCCTCAATGTATCTTAACTCTTGTTGCACACTTAGACAAGAGATTTATTAATCAGTCAATCAATGATGCCTTATTTTACGTGTCAAGGCTCAGTCTGTCAGCCCTGTTGTTGTGCCTGACCACAGTCAGCAAATTTCGGTATACTCCTTTCACCATTACCAAAGAAAGAAGATTCAACATAAATGAGAAATCCGGTGACTTTGTGTGTCTTTTCAGAGGCTCCTGTTAGGCTTGAGTATCTTTTAAATGCAATGCAACTTCATGAAAGCCGGTTTTACTTCCCCTCCAAAGGGAGGCAACAAGGAATTTTATTTGTCCTTAAAAATTTACAGCCTCAGTCGCTTTTGAACCCATGATCTTGGGTAGAAAAATCTGATAAACTAAACATTGTACCACCAAAGCTACCAGTTTTTGTAAACTTCTATTATTTTTGAAAATGAGTGAAAATTGCAATATTTCTTTCTTTCTTTCATTTATTCATTAGTTTTGATTGGAGATTCATTTTAGTAATCAAATAAGTGAATTGAAAAGCAGAACATTTATTATCACTGATAGACACTTAAATAGTATTTATCTACATTGATTATTTTGGTCTAAATATGTCAATCATTTTAATTTCAAACTGTTAAGCCCTTGATCCATTAGTACAAATGTTTAACAAAGAGAATTCATGTGGTAAAAATTAGAGTACATTATCTACCAGTTTCTGTTACTGATTAATAATTTTATACTACAAATTGCCTAATTTTAATTTTTAAAACTAAAATATAATTTCGGAAGATTGTGAAAGTATTAAAAGGACCTTTTTAAAAAAAAAAGGAAATTTAAAAACGTGAATCAATAAATTCCGTAATATAATGGTATACATTTGGATGCAACGCAAAATCTGTCAATGGTCACTTTGACGATTTGCCAAATTTAGTTTTTGATCATTGAATTACACTGCATATATGAGTGATCAGACTGAATCTTTCCTAAAGTGTCATTTCGATGTAATTTCAGCTGTCGCAAGAATCATTTCCTCCTTGCATGAGGCAGTTGCACGAATCAATAAGAAAGACGCACCATGCAAAACATGGTGCGCGCTTGCAGTATGGTCTTTTCTTAAAGGGAATTGGACTCCCTTTAGAAGAATCTATAAAATTTTGGAAAACTGAGTTAACAAAAATTATGACAAGGGAAAAGGTAAGAAAATAAATTTATTTTACCTAAAATTGTGAAGTTCCTTGCTTAATTACTTCTGCTCTTCTCATTTTTGCTATAGGCAACAGGGTAGAAACTTTATAATGTCTTGTTTTTTATTCTTTTTACACAGGCGATTTGAATCTTTAACACATTATTTTAGTTTTATAACAATGAGCTCAATTATTATTGTGACGTTAATTTAACATCCCAACTGACTGAGAACTTGTTTTTATTTTCCCCTAGCATATTTGATCTTCTGTTCAGAAAGGAAACTGTATTGTTTCCTTTGAAGTTCCATGAAAAAAATCCAAAAACTTCATGAAAAAAGCTCCTGGCTTTGTGTGCAGTAATACTGAAAGTTTAATTGAAATAAGTGCTCTTTACAATATCTGAGAATTAAAGATATATGGTCATGCCTAGATTGGGGTGTGCATAGAATTAAAAAGAACTGTTATTTGATACTAGGAATTTTATATATTACAAATTGAATTACATATAATATTTATATATTTTGAAGTATATTTGATACAAATGTTGGTTGTAATCTCCTCAGAAACAATAATGTACATAAATAATGGGTCAGGCACCAATAAATTTATTTTCAGAAGTCAACAAAAGTACTTAATTATTTGAATAAGCCAATAGAAATACCTCACATTTTACTTTATGCATATGGTTTCAATGAAACTAGCTTACTTTCAACATAAGAAAATAATGAAAATTAAAACCATAGTAAGAGACTATGTGCAGTGACATTTTCAACGATCCAAGTGCCACAATAATTTGTAGAATACTTCAAGTCACTGCATCCTCGAAAAAGGTTTTCTCTGGATAATAATAATATTTTATTGCTTATAAATTTACAGAAAATATTAAGCAAAGTCTGTCTAGAAATTACGAGTAATTAAAATTACAGTAAGAATTACATTAAAAAGGAAAACAACATTCACTTACAGTAATAATTTAATAAGTTTAATAAATTTTAACAAGCTTGTGGGACGTGTGTGTGTGTGTGGGGGGAGTTGAAAATGATTACTTTGTCAGTAAACATGTTCAAAACTCTTATAATGAAATTACACATGTGACAAGTCGCTCTGAGGAAGCAAGAGGCTTTATGCACTATGCCCTGAGGAAGGCCAAGATATGTGCCATCACAACGTAGACATGGCTCATAATGGAAAACATAGATAATACAAACTCTTGCAGCAGAAGCCTACACAATATTACACATGTGGCATTTGCCCCTGATTGATTGGGAACCCATTTGATATTGGTGTTTGGCAGTTCATATCCTGACATCATCAAAGTTATCCTCACATCATCAAAGTTATTTCATCTTCCTACTTCTGAAATACTAGTGCAAGAATAGATAGCTGCTAATCAGAGATAAATGTCACACATTTAATGTATTTATAAGGTATTTCTCATCACATGTTTGTTGGCAGAAAGTGACCATCTTTGAGCTACCTACATGCCCTAAAAATGTCTAATATTTATTCTCAGACACCTCTTTATGTCATTGACAATGACAATTGTATTTCATCATTCATTGAATTTTTCATTTTTTGGTGCTTGACTTGTTATTTACGTGCTAGCCAGATGGTAAATGACATTACTGGTGAATAAAATTGGAAAAGAGTAAGGAAGAAAAATTTTATCACCCAGACTTTGTTCTCTTACTTCCTTGCCTTACCTTTCTTTTTACATCTAGAGAACTTTTCATGTACAAAATCACTCTTTTGGCTAGTAAATTTCTTAATGATACCTTTTAGAACTATACAGCTGTTAATGACTCGGATACTTTTAGTTTCAGAAGGAATATCTGTATTCCATTCGCCACAGTTATGGGCAAGAAGGTAGGCGAGTGTCTTATACTCCCTACAGTTGTGCCAAGATTTTATCAGAAACAATTGGAATAGGAGATTGCCATGGCTGTCCATTTAAACATAATAGTGCACAAATACTTAAAAATAGATTTGAAAGTTATGGCATTCCACCATCAGGTAAAGTGCAAAAATTAAAAATTCATAAAATAAAATCTTTTTTGAAAAATGTGAAAAAAAATTCTTGGAGAAGCTAAAGGGGTAGCATCCAGCTGACTTCATGATTCCTTATGAAGATTTTTTCTTTTTCACTGAATTTAAAATTTATCTTCACATTCTTACCTTAATAGTGATTTATAACATTCAATTAAGATATTAAAGTATTTGTTACTATAGAAAGTACTATAGTAACTGTAAGCATTAAAAATAAGTGCTCAAGAGTCTTATAATCAAAACCAGTTCAATAAGAGAGTAATATAATGAAAATATAATATTAGAAGTCTGGAGGATAACAACAAGAAGGAACTCCAGATACCGATTATACCTTTCTCCCAGGAGCACAACTGATTTGGATATATTTCTTTTTATTCACTCCATAATTTTGCTGTACTTATTATGTTGAGAAAACAATTACAGTGGAATAACAAAAACACAGTACTAATGAAATTGGGTACTTTTCTTCTCTAGGTCTACAGATTATAATGAACTTGGTATTTGAGGGACAGTACCAACTTGCATGCTCCAAGTATTTTGAAATAATACATTCTTCTACACTTGAAAAAGTCATATGTGACCCAAATGAATTCTTCAAACAAAGTCAAAAGATCCGTTGCAATTATGAAGAAAAACTGAAAGAGAATTATGGACGAAATGGAAATATCAAATTTGTCAAAACAGATAAAGGTAAGGGGAAAAATAGTTATTATGAAAGGTCCTTGTTTTTATGAAGTTAGTTAGTGATAAATTGATTGTTTAAACTATTCTTAAAGATTATAATGTATAAGAAATTTTATATACAATATGTTAGATACATAACATATGTTTATAGCTCTTGTTGCTGTTACCATCAGTGAGTCTCATAAGAGCAAAGATGATAATTCTAAGTAGTAGTCTTATCTCAAATTATTTTTATCATCAAGAAAAAAAAAAAAAAGAAATTGCAATTGTGGAGAGTACAGACCGTACTTCTTGTAGATCTTCGCAAACAAAGTATGTCGAAGAAAATGTTTTAAACTTGTGGTAAGAACACAAATTGCATTTTTACATTTTACTGTAATTATATTGTGTAAAATTATGTAACAAACCTATAAATGAGAATGATACATCATTTTATTGACCTGCGTAGGAATGTACAATTTATTTCTGTCAATTTAAGTGTATTTAAATTATTAATTTATTATTGTTTACAAAATGTCATATTATGTACATTTTGTTAATAGAAAATATTGTATATAGAAGTCATGCTAATAAAAAGATCTTACCCAGTTATACTTTTATCTGGTTTGTCAAAATTACATTCCTTTTCAATATCATACTAAATGTCAGTATTATCAGAATGATATTTAAAAGATTTCAGTCTGTTTTAGGATTAAAAGTATTGAAGAAATGCTAAATGCTTGTAACCTTGTGTAACATGGACAGCTGAATTTATGTAAGAGGCACATCTGATACAGTAGTCAGAACTGGCACCTTTTATAGATGGTGCAGCTCTTTGTTAATTTGAGTAGTTGTTGTTTATCTGATGATGTGCAGTATGTTAATGGTAAATTTTGCTTTCCCAGGGTATATGTAGTGATGCAAGTGGTGTCAGTCACTTTTGGTGTTCATTGTTAACAATTTTGCGTAGGTATCTATTTCTTTAAATATATACGATATAAAGTAAATTATTCATTTTAGAAGTAAATAACTACATCCATAACATCCACACAAACTGTCAGTTGAAAAATAATTGAACTGTATTCAAACTATTGATACACCGTTGGATATCTTATAGTAGGAAAAGGAATTAATCTTTGCTCAAAAGCAAACAAATTAAGATAAACCATGATCAAGATTATCAAAAAGTCTGTTTTATGTACTCCCTTCAGAGCATCTCCGCATGTGATTCCAGCAGGGCATACATGGGCAAGTGGTGCTTGAGTTGTTGTACCAGATAGGGTAAAGCAGGCGAATGGTGAATGTTCTAAAGCACTGAATAATGACACTCAGTTAACGCAGTTATTTTGATACATGGATATTTATGAACTGTGTTATGTATGTATTATTTATATACTTTCAAATGCAACATTTCTGAAAATATATTGTTACAAAGATACTTAATTTCCAAAAAGAAATTAAATGCACCAAAGAAGTAAAAGAACTTATAATCCTATAACAGCGCATACTTTCTCGCATTAGTAACGTCTACACAACTTCTGCCCATTTTATTACATCTTGGTCATCTATCTATATACATTTATAATAAAAGGATTTTGATATGTACCAGTGCAGTGAACTCCATCTACGTGTCCTTTTTTTTCACGCAAAAGGTTTATATGTTGTTAATATTGATATATCTCCACCAAATGGCGCTGCAGCACAAGATTGCGCTTAATTTTAATTTAATAACTATTCAAAATGAGCTCCACCTGGCTTCATTGTTATTGGGCGTAGCCGTGTGACACAAGGCAAGGCTGAGGAGGTCGACTCGCAGAGCTCGCAGAAAGGTTGGCGGGACGAGAGAGAGAGACAAAGACCCACAGGGAGGGCGAGGCAGACACAGAAAGAGTATGAGAGTGAGTGTATATGAGTAGGAGAGGGAGGGAGAGAGAGAGAGAGATATAGTCAAATGGATGGAGAGACAGAGGGAGGGAGAAGGAGTGCTGGACGTCTTCCGGGTTTCGGTAGTATTAATATGTGACAAGATTATAAGTTTTCGTCCCATCTTAAACTTCCTTTTTCTAACAGTGATTATCTCAAACAACATGTATTTTAATAAACTTCAGCGCTCTCCAAGGCTGGCAAAACTTATAAATTTACGAGAAAACATGATAACGGTATAAAAATGTAGTTTATTCAACATGGAATACATTATTTTAAAAATAGTGTTTAGAATTATAATTTACATAAACATTAATAATGTATTTCTATACATTTTTAATTTGCCAGAAACAGAAGGTATCACTTCTACATCCGTTTTCAAACTATATGGGTTTTCATTAGCATTTTTCGAGGGTAAGTCCTATGTACTCGCTGCTGCAGCTCCACTTTCGCGCTTGACTAAAAGTCATCAGGTTTGTCATTCCCTCGTTAACCTTGGAACCCTCGAGCTATAAAACGGCCCGTAATCGGTTCTTTTGGATACAATGGGACACTGACGGCTGCTCGTCACAAATATACTTCGCGGCGTCACAATTGCGTATCGTGCGCGCGCGCGCGGTTTCAATATTAAATAATGTTTTGGGTCGATTTCGAAAATATTTTTTCCGCTTGATGTTGGTAATGTGTTAAATTGGATTAATTTTTCCCTATTTTTGTCAAAATTCCGGGTGGGTAATTATCACCATTTACTAATATTTTCGCGTGGATAGTACTATCCACCACCCCCATTTCTTCTGTCACCCCTCGCGCTCTCCATCCTAAATAAAATTTAACATTAAAATAATTTCCCAGTTCAGTCATATAGAACTATGCTCATGCACCTGCTGTATTAACCGCGAGAATGCCGTATTTGAATTAAGTATACCCTCTCTTGGAACAAAAAAATTAAACCAAGAAAAGAATTGAAGCGTTTGTGAAAAAAGTCGTAAGGATTTTTTGTAAAGTTCCCTCAAAAATGAACACATCCACCAAATTCGAAGAGTCGCGACATCAGCCAGATTGATTTAGAAATATTAATTTTGCTTAGTGGCTGAATACAGTTGAACAAAAAGAAAGACATTCAGGAAGTTTTAACAAAATCTTCAGAAGCAAATATATTTGTTAAAAATATCTTCATACACCTTGCCAATAAGCACAAGTCGTAAATGCCGCAAGCAGCCAGTCAGGTTTTGTGCTGAGAGGACCGGGAGCGGGTGGTTGGGCACTTCTGATCGCTAAAAGACCACGTAACTGTCGTCTTCTATCAAGTAAAAGTGATTCACAACATGTAACTGACATCGACAGTCAGCAGGAAATAAATAATTTATATCTGTTGGTAAATGCACCAAGATCATTCATTTTCACCTCTGAAAGCACGCCAGTTCCTAATAAAATTCTCAGTGGTGGTTCTATGAACTTGGTACCCAATTCATTCGCAAGAGACCAGTAGGAATATGTAAGAAAAATGTTAAACAAAAGCAATATACCGTAAAATGAAAATGAAAGGATTGATAAATATTTTATTTTAATATGAACCAAGTACATTAAATAATAATCTAAAAACACCGTAGTATTATAAAAATTTATCTTATCCACTTTCACAAAAATTGAACACGATGAAAAGCCCGGACAACGTCGGGTAATTTGCTAGTCAGCTTGTAAAACTCTTCGAAAAACTAAATTTGCAAGCTTAAAAACCATCAACGCACTAATTGACAACCAAAACTGTTCCGTACAGAAAGAACGCGCCCAACAAGAAGGAATTCCACGAATTCAAAACTGCTGTGATGTCTCGGCGTTGCCATTGTCTTTCGACCTGTCATCTCGTAGAAAGGTTCGACGCAAAAAGGCCGGGAAATTCGAATTTGCGCTTTCAAAGATTAACCATGTATTATTATAGATACTTATATTTTTCAAAAAAAAAAATAAATACACGACTCTACTTAGAGATCCAATTTTGAAAAAAAATATTCATTAATTACAAAATCTCTATTAGAGCATTGTAGTTTCTACAAAAAATTTGGAGCCATTTTTGAGAAAATTTTGAAATAATTAAGTGTTATGTAAAGTAGTCCCCAACATTAAAATATTAGTTTCAAATTCTCTCTGTCAGGACCTCAAGGTCGACCATCGGAGAGTATCAATTGTGGAGAAAATCGTTATAATAGTTCAGGCTCTTGCACATACACGGACAGACAGATGTTTCGCACTTGGTCAATAATCAGAATCAAGGGCCCACAAAATGGATTCGCGGTAGTTTTCTATATGCCTCATTAAATAGCATACTCTTCTCACTTAAAGACGTATCTAGATATTCCTATGCACTTTTGGATTCCCTACACTTTTGCAAGGGTCTAAGAGGTTCCTTTTGGGCACTTCTAGCATCAGTACTATATTGCTCCATCGTAATTTACAAATTGCGTGAAAAGCTTAATATAACTCCTGAGAGCAATGAATGAGATGGCCAGTAGGCGTCATCCCCAACGTCTCAAGGGCACTGTCTGTAGATCTTTGCGTAGCCCCAGAGGTGCAAACCTAACTGGTAAGATTCTGGCGTTGACCTCTCCATGAACTTGGGCTGCCAGGGAAATGAGGATAAAAGTGGATTCCCAGGATGTGGTTCATGGTTCCAATCGCTCTATTGCTCTTTTTGCAATGAACCTACATCGTCCCTGGACCTCCCTCTACTTAGAGTACATATTTTGACAGCAGTATTTGTATTCAATTGGATGCCGTGATAAAAATATAGGATTTCAAAAAGGCATTCGAAATGGGATCACTTACATGTGTCTTTACCGCATTTCCTTGGCGTTTCAGCTTCTAGGCTGCTACCTCGTCATCGGCGCATTTCTTCTTATAAACCCTTATATCTTGTATAGAATTGAGCCTCAAAGCATTGGTGGTCTTTAATGTCCATAAGAAAAATCCGAGCAGGAGCTCAGCCATCTGAAATAGTATCTGCAGATTTTTGTAATCATGAACTTAGGTTTAATGCTACCATTACCAAACCATTATGTGTACCAAATTAGAAAAAAACGTCAAGAATCCCTTTCCTGGTCAGAGTCTATCGGATTGCCGCATGAGGAACTATGTCGAATGCTTTCGATGCTAGAACAGCACTGTCACCACCTCTTTTGTTCGTGTTACTGATTGCTTCGTGATGAATTTGAACATTGGCGAAACAGCTAGGTTTGGGGATAAACCCCTGTGACGTTAATTTAATCTTCACACGAATCGAATGCGTTTGTCCTTAATATTCCAAATTCTGCATAGCAGAGGACCAATCGTGATATGGCGATATTTACACGCTTATCCTCGCCATCTTTGGGTAAGGGTGCGATTAGCTTTTCAGTCGGGGGGCACAAAGCCGTTGTGTGTAGAATTTGGGTGTTCAGTAGGAAGAATAATTCGACTTTTGTTCTGAAGATAATTATGTGGCTGGATCTTATCTGATCAAGATGGGGGTCATTGACCCGGAAGCTGAAGTACATTATTAGTTACAAATATATTCAGCCTTTTAAAAAAAATCTACAATACAAATGTAAACTAATTCATTATATATTAAAAATAAACATTATTTTTCTTTTTGATAATCAGTATAGTCCCTAATTTTATAGAAACAGTTATGCAAAATAAAATATTTTACTTTT